ATCTATTGTTTCTAATGCGTTCGGCACATGAGAAGCGCGACCTTTGAAACACGCTTTATTTACAATTATCTTGCAATTAGCCATTCCATGGCATTGAAATTCGCGGAAATTTCACATGATTATTTTATTTTTATTTTTTTTTATTTTTATTAAACCTTGCCTAGAACATAAGTTTTACAAGTAGCTTATTATACAGACATGGAAACTGGTACAAATTATACTACAGGCACAAACACAGACACAAGAGGCTAGGCAACCACAACAGCAAAGCGAATTCACAATCCACATGGAAATAAAAGTTTCACATGTAAAATGTCAGGTGATTTATTCTCGAATGCGTCTAGCGCATACTCGCGCATGCGCTAGACGTTTGACCGTGGTGCTGTGTTGAATGTAGTTTAGAAATCGTCCCCAGTCCTCTCATTAATGTCGGAACGGCTGTTTTACAAGTTCATTCAAGTGAGTTCTGGACATTCCCAGTATATAATCTTACACTTCACAGAATAATTTTGTCGTGTCGAATCTGTAAACAAAGCTTCAAAGATTGAATATTTTGATGGTTTGACGCATGTGCAAGTGTATGTGTTTCCACTTCTTGATAAAACTGTTTGTAGCGCACCGGCACCTTGCACTGTTGAGCAAACAGCCGACATGACTTTCCAGCCCTGAAACAAAATTTTTCTATATTAGCGGGCCGTTTGCTAATGGCAAGCACTTTCACTCTTCCTTCGATTGGCTTATACCAGGGTATCCATGCATATGCAGTACTATTAATATGGATGGGTGTAGCATGCCCCCGGGAGTTCTCCACAGTGACAGTTTCTATATTTGAAGGTGCAAGTGATTTAAGAGTGCAGTGATAAACAGTAAAATGTGCAGTGATAACATTTGTGGTGATAAATATTAAATAGTTCATTTACTTCATCAAAGGACCATTGACCAATCAGATGTGTTTAATTTCCCCGATCAACCAATCACCTGATAGATGTCGATTCTTAGATGCGTTATTTATGTAAAGACCAGTGAGCTCTATATATACCTGGAGCAAGAACTTCAGTCATTCGGCCAATGAGAAAAGTAAAGCCAAGATGGCAGAAATTGACGTCCAATAGGTATGAAGGTCGTAAATAGTTTCAATAACATTTTACCCCCAGCTAATTCTAGTTTTTTTCTAACGGATCGCATCACTAATCGAGTTATCAGTTCATAAAACCATAATATTATTCTTTAAATCTAAACACGAAATTTCGGCTCATAACGGCACACTCCTTGTAGCTTCGTGTCAGCCGCGTTGATAAAAACAGTAGAAATGGACTGGTACTGGACGCCAATTACCGCCATGTTTGGCTTCACTTTTTGGACGCGAGTTCTCACTCAAATGAAACGCACTGTATTGGACATACTTACCTTAGGCTGCTTATATTTAACTTCAACCCGTCCAATGTCCACTTGTGTTGTTTTGATACTACCCGATTCTGTGATCTCACGTACCCTACAGGCAGACATGTTGCCAACTCCTTGGGGTCCCTGTGGCCCTTGCAAACCTTGAGATCCATTAAAACCACGCGGTCCTATTTGTTTGCTGACGTTCCTCAACTAAAACAAAACAAACGATGCTCAATGGTGAGCTAAAGCAAGCGATGTCACCCGAAAATTGGTATAACTAATTTTGGCGGCATTTTGCATCATAGCGCTCGTGAAAGAAAGCAAAAAACTTTAAAAATCTTATGCTTTGTCCGTATGTGCTGAAGATTACCACAAACTGACACAAACACAGTTTTCAATCCAGTCCCCCCTCGCCAATCTGACGTCCTTGTTGACAAGAACGTTGCTTAAGCTCCCTAATAAAGGTACGTTTACACGCTGCGATTTGTCGGGCCGATTTTGCTCGCTGTATGTAAATAACCTGTCGTGAGTACTCGCGTCAGCACCTTGCGATTCACAAAATCGGGAGAAAAAACTGTAACAAAACACAGATTTTTCTCACGATT